GTTTGTACAGTTTATTCTACAAAACTGAGCAGACTCAGAAGGAATTTTTGACAAGTCTTCCAGTGTTATTGCAGTACAATGCCAATTTTATGGGTGGAAGCATGAAGGTGACTATAATTCCTCTGTTACAGGCAAAACATCTGAGGCTCAGCATTTGAAGCTTTAGATGCTCCACTATTTGTCACAGCAGTAGATTTAATTATCATGTCACAAAACATGGTAAACTGAACGTGCTGCTTACAGTGAGCTGGTGATGAAGAATGGGAGAATCTGGCACAAGTAAAAGGAAGAAATAATTTGGATGGAAAAGTGAGTGATTGTGGAGCTCCCATAGAAAACTGTCCCAGATGTTCTGGGTAATTTCAGATCTTGGCAATACAGAAAACCATCAATAATCAGCCAAGGGGAGGAGGCTCATTCCCTACAGCACCACGGGGCAGCCATGGTTGTCTTGGCTGCATGAGACAAAGCCATGCAAGGTTGGTTTGCTTGGGCTAATTTATTTTGGTTTTGAGTTGTGGCACACACATTTCCCCCAACCATCTTATAGTGTACAGGTTAAACAGATTACAAGATGATATTGAGTCTTTTACAAAGACCACAGAATGTAAAAATAAACAAGGAGGCTCCTGGATGATATTAATCCAGGGATATCTGAACTGTTGCTGTTCAGTCACAGCTATAACAACGCCAATACATGAGTGACCCGAGAGAAATTCTAAATCCAAAACAATAATTAAATTGGTAACACACCAAAACAGAAAATGCAGTGTCAGTAGCTCAGCTGGCACGTTTCAACATGGGGAATATTTGCAGTTTCAGGCTCTTCCATTTCAACTGTGATGTCCTATGAAAAACATCTATAAGCTGACTAGAGATAAACACAGTATGCTGAGACTATACTATAAAATCAGTGCCAAAATATTGCAGAGTGAACATCAAAGGAACCTTAAAATATGGTGAAAGTTTGATAGTTTGTGCAAATGCATTGTGTTCCAAAGTCACTGGTGTAGGAATCTGCCTCCTCTTGACAGAGTAAACAAATTACCTTTCGTATCCTTAAAAAAGAAAAAAGCCCAGAATTTTCTCTCCTCAATTTGGTTAAAAGACACCTCATAGGACCTTGGGGACTTCACCTCAAATTTAAGGATAGCTAATTGGACAGAAGCCAAAAAGCCCTGCCTAAGCAATTCCCTAGAAAAGAAGAAAACAAAAGAAGTAATCACTTTTGTGAAGTGTTTTAGAAGGAGCAAGAACCTCTTGCCCTGACTCAGTTTTTTCTGTAAAGAGCTTTTTTATTTTGCCTTTTATTAAAACTTTTTATTTCCAACACCATCACAGGAGCCATCCTGCTTCTTTTATGCCACCTGAGGTTGCTGAGCTATCAAGGGTATCATGCTTATCTCTGAGAGCTTGAAGAGAAAAAGCATTACACTGGTATTGTAAATGCAGGCAAACCCCATGGGAAGAAATGACGATGTCTGACTCAATTCAGAAGGCTGAATGATTTCTTTATTATAACTATGCTAAAATACATTAATATACTATATAAAAGGAGGATGCTAAAACTACATACTACTTTCTCTGACTCTAACACAACTCATGACCCTCTCTCCAGAGTCCAGCCCCAGGTGGGTTGGATTGTCCATCAGGCTCAAACAATCCTCACCAGAATCCAACCCAGCACTCACTCCAGGTAAACAATTCTCCAAACACATTCCACATAGGAAAAACAAGGAGCAGAAATAGAAATTGTTTTCTCTTTCATTTCTCCCTGTGCACTTTTATGAAAAATCCTGAGAGGGAAAGGAATGTGCTTGCCACACACTGGTTTCAGCACAAGCATGTACACACCATTCTGCCCCAGAACCCAGATTATTAAAACTGTTACCTTATTCACACCATCTGCCATTGCTTGCAGTGTTAACTCTCTAGGTCCATCCACAGTCTTCCCATTATCAGTGGGTCCCCAGCTGGCACTATAAATATCTATGACTTGAGGCATGTGGCTGATGGAGGAAGCCTCAATAATGTCTGTCATAAACGGCTGGTCCAGCATGCGAATACCTGTGGTTTTAATCAACATAAGCATGAAATATGCATTACCCAGCACAAAATGTAATCTCAGCACCTGCAGAAGGCCCCCAGTTACAGGTATTTTAAGACACTGGCAGTTTTACCCATTCAGTAATTCAGCACTTGATATTTCCATGTCACTGGGGTGTGCTTACCCAGCAGGATGCCAGTATTAAACACCCAGCCACCAAGGAAGCATGGCCCAGAAAGACAAAGAACTTTACTGCTAGCTTTCTAATTACACTGTATTTTCCATCTACTCTTTGATAACACTTTAAAAAATAACAGAGTTCAGCAATCTCAGAAATTCAGTGCTTAAATAATATCAATGGCATTAAAAATAAGATTTGGTAAGCTAGCAAAAAAGAGTAAGGCCCCCTCCCTCATCTAACTTACATTCAGTTTTGTGTTCACATGGCATTAGTTTTTCAAGTAATTTTTCTATTTATTTTGGTGCATCTCCAGAATTTAATCAGAGGAGGGAAACATGCTACCCAGCAATTTCCTGGAAAAATATCATTCTGTCAATATGCAGATATAATTGCAAAATACAGCCAGCAAGTGGAGGAAAAAAGCAAACTAAAAACCCACTTTCTTTAACCCATACTGCAGTAGAAGTTAAAGAGTTTAAATGATACAAACTTAGGACATGTCAGCTTCATAAAACCTCAAAGAGTTGACTCTAAGCAGGCCAGAGTGCAACAGACAGCAGTGCATCCATCGTGCCTCACACACAGGACAATTTCACTGTCAGCCAACCTGTCCCTTGGCCTCTGGATGAGACCTGAGTAACCAGGGATTCATTCCAAGCTTAATTTGTATCCCTGAGTTGAAGTTCAGCTGTTCCCAATGGTTTAGGACACAGATTGGGCAGAAATCAGTGCCAAACAGTATGAATGGCAATAAGGATCCTGATTTAGAAGCCAGTGGCTTTCCTATATTCAACAGAAAGCCAATGTGTCAAATATAAGGCTGGAAAAAAGGTGGTATAAATTTCAAATAAAAATCAGGCCAAAGCTGGATGTTCTTGATGGGCTAACTCAAGCTAGAAATGATGCAGTCAAACTCAGTGGGTGAGAAATTGCTTCCCATATTATTGAATGCAGATCTGCAATCAACTCCCTGTTCATTCTGAAAACGTGGACTCCTCAACTTTCATGGACTTCCAATGCCATGGACCACACAGTGCACATCGTCCTCAGGCAGGGAAGGCTGAGGAGATTCCCCAAAATCTTGAGGGGATTTTACTACAAAGTGGACAAAAGATTATTTGTAGGCTGTTGGTCACCAGAAAATATTGTCACACCTCTTGATTTTTAAGCAACCAGCTGGAAGTTGTACAGTTATATGTATAATACATGGTCCAGACAAAATCTCATGCCTCAATTCAGATTCCTTGAAGAGTAACTCAAAAGAATGCAAATTTTGTGGAATGTCCCATCCCTGAAGGAGATGTTAGCCTTACTGAAGAAAGGAGACATTTATTAGACCTGCCCAGCCAGTTACCAACTCTCACTGATATTTCTTGGGTGAGAGCTTGGCAAACATTCCTTGGTGCCCTTCTCTGGTGGAGATTCAGCTTTCAGTCATGCAGGTGACAGGTGAAATGTGGCCTTCCTGACATTCTCCTGACACTACAGTGGAACAGGGGCAGAGGGGTCCATGAGCACACACTGTGGACCATCTGCAAGGAGCAATGGGTACATCCATGCTGATGTTCTGGTGTGGAACAGGGAAAGTAAAGCGAAATTCATAAGTATCTATGTCTGCTTGCTGTGCCTCTGTTCTCATCATGGAACTATCTTTCTTAAGAGTGGGAAAACTGGATTTCTTCAGATTTAACTAGACTGACACATGGTGTGCAGAGCCTAAATCACTCCAAGCACTGTATTCAGTATATATGTGCAGAGAAGAGCTCGTTAGAAGCAAAAATACCCAACACACCCAAGGTGTGGATGCTGGGTGCTAGGTACCACCTGCTCCATTCTCTGCATCTGCTCCTATAAGGAAACCTACAACCACAGAGATATACAGCACTGCAGGTCCTGCCCTGTGAGAGCCTAAAGAGTCAGAGCAGCATGAGATTTGCCTTTTCAAATGGTTTTTAAGTGCAGCAGGAATTTATACTTTGCCTCCTGCAAAATGAGATTTGCCACCGACAATTCTGTAGCTACTCAGGGAAGAAGCACTGAAAATCAGCATAAAAACAGGAGCTGGCATATGCAGGAGCAGAGCTGCTCTTAAAGAGCCTTTATTTATAAGGCCCTTGATTGAAAAGGCAAAGCCATGGGGAAATTCCTTTCTCCATCTACTGAAAAGTAATAAACACATGGTCCAACACCAATCTGCAGCTCTGAACTGGGGAGCACCCCTCTGTCTGTGCAGGAGGAGCTCTGTCTGAAGCACAGGGAGCTACTTACACCATGGGTTGCTACCATACCTGCCACTTTGGAGTTGTAGGCAACCCCCACGCCGCAGATGTTGTTGTTGGCAGCAGCAGACACCTCCCCAGCACACCTTGTCCCGTGGCTGTGAAAAGGAAGGCAGAGAGACCAGGTGAACCCCAGCTAATGCTGAGCTGGGTCACTGCGAGCTTGTTTTGCCCCACTCAGCTCCCAGGGCTGCAGAGGAAAACCATTCAATGGAAAACTGTTGAGTGCTGAATAGTGGCATGAGTTCATTCCTTGCTGGAGCAGGCAATATCCAGTTTCTCCTCTTCAGGAGGAGTGATGCTTGCTCTGAGGTCAGCATGTATCCCTACACTGCATTTAACTGTAAAGTTGTTAATTCCTTTATGTTTTAGCTTGTGAGACAGGTTCTGCCACGTTATCAACTCTTAGCAGAAACAGCCCCTGACAAAACAGTGTAAATATGTTACACTGTATGTTATTGATCTTAACATAAGATCAGTATTAATTCCTTTATTTTTGTGTCTTGGCAGCAGAGAAATGCAGACAACATAACCTAGTTTTTAAAAAATAGCATAGCAGCAGGGAAACTACTGAAACCTGTGCTATTGTCAGTTTTTTTTTGTTGAATATCTGACTCCATCCTACTGCTCATATCAACCACTCTGAGCACTGAAAGTGGCACTGATCCTACAGCACGCTAAGGATTCATGCAATTCCAAAAGCTGTATTATAAAGGTTATACTGAGTATCACATGGACCATCCTGGGAGGCAGGAAAACTGTTTTAATCACCTTTTTGCTCTCTCTTTCCTTTAAGGGTGTCTGGCAAAGATAAGTGTAACATTAATAAAAAGATAAAATGCAAGATATACTTTTTCCTGCTCTCCTTGAGAGAATATATTTTTAGAGGCAGTTCCATAAAGAAAGATGAAAGAATATCTCATCTGCTTCCTTTTACAAAGGGGGCAGAGAAGACAGCAATACAGATTTCTTACTCAGCTGCTACAGAAATTGCTATCAACAATCAAACAACAAGATTTCCCCTCATGTTCTTGCTCAAGGAAGTGTGACAGAAATACAACATTCATTGGCAGGTGCCAGCAACGCTTGGCATTCATTATCTAGTCATCTATGGGCCATCTACAAGGCACAGAGAAGAATAAATGGCTTTTTTGAAAATTTGCTTCACTAATGCTGAGGTGCAAAATATCACTGATGCTGCCAGATTACAGTGAGAAAAACTGTATTAGGACCTTCCTGACAAAAAAGTTTTACCAGAAGGCCTCTTCCTGCCCTGGCCTCTCCAGAGGAGTGGCCCACACAATTGAGACTGTAAACAAACCTATTCCAGCAGCTCAGAGTTTCAATATTGTGCTGCTGACTAGAGAGAAAAAAAAAAAATCACTTATGAGTTAGTGGAAATGCATTTGGTTGAATTATTAATGGCAAATATCAGACTTTTCCAACTCAGCCCTATTTGCTGTTCATGTATCATTGATAAACCCTTTGTGGTTTCTATGAAGTGACTCATGTCAGAAGAACAAATCACAGCCTTTCTCTGTAGTGTTCACCTCTTCCCTATTTCAATATTTAAAGTAAGAGGATAGAACACAAAAATATTTTCATCTGTGAACAAGCTACTTCAAAGATAAACCATGTATTAGCAAGTAGAGCAAGTCTTACATAAACTTTGTGTAAGTGAACACCTTTTGCATGAACATGCATAAAAAAGTAAGGGGGAGAAGTGAATTTAGTTGAAAAACAGGTTTGAATACTGTATTTAAAAAAAAATACCTATACCTATATGTTTGCTTTTCCTTTTAGAAAAGAAAATTCTTCTAAAACAAATGCAACACTATTCTAGCTATCAAAATTTCACTCTGCTTTGTCTTTGACAGCAATTCTGTTTTAAAATCCACTGCCAATGGTCTCGTGTGTACCTCCCTACTGATGTATTATTGAAAGTGTCATAGGTGGCACAGATTTTTACTGAGGCTCCTTTTCATCTGCTTTGAAATGCTTCTGCAGACAGCAAAGCACAGGACCCCTCCATCCTATTTTCACTTTTTGCAGGGGAGGGCTGTGCAGGGCTGCACTCTCAGTGGATGGGACCATCTGCCTTTCTTGGCCAGTTCAGCTGCTTGCAGTGGGCACTGATGAAACATGCAGAGCTCAGGTGGACACTTTGGGGCAAATGCAATCCCCTTTTTATCCACATGACACCATCAGCCTCTAAGCATGTGAGTGATCACAGAAGGGAAAGCATTCTCCTGCTTTGGTTTGGACCCACAGTTAGCAAAAGATTCTTACATCTGAAGAACATAGGTTTTCAAAAGAGCAAAGAAATTTTTCCCTGCTAACTCATTAGCTGAGTGAGAGAGTATACAGCATGCAAAGGCCATGGGAGTGGAGATAATTACTGGTTACTTAGATCAGGACAGAAATTTGTAATCTCATTGCTCTGAGGTGGAGAGCCCGAGTTGTGCCCTCTGCATGCTCACAGCATGAAATCAGAGGCCAAGCAATCACTGATTCCTATGGCTACCTCTTCACTGCAGAATGTGGTGCATGCCAAGGTACTGAATGTGGTTCAGAAGCAGAGGGTGTTCAAAATCAGTCAGTTCCCAAAGTGGTTCTTAAAAAACACTGAGTTCTGTGGGGCTGCCCCTCGTTTTTGGAACAGGGCTTGATTCGAGTTCCTTCACTGCTCCCACTGCTCCTCAGGCTCAAACACAGCTCTGTTCCACGTTGGGGACACTCTCCTGATGGGTCCACAAGCTGTGGATCTGAACAGTCAAACAGTGAGTACAGCAAATATGAGAATAAATCCCTTGGCTGCCAAGCCATCTATGAGCCTCTGCCCACAGCAGCAGCTGAACTGTCTGAATGCAATCTCCAGCCTGAATCACCACCCTTCCCTTCCAAAAACCACCCTGCATGGTTGCATAGCCAGTGGCTGTTAGGTGGAAAGACCAAAGTGATTCCAGCAGTCTTACAAAGCCCCAAGTGGAAGGGGAATTTGTGCTTACAAGTAGAGCAGCTGTGATTAATGAAATACTCCATGCAAAAACCTCTCCTGTTTATTCTTAAAGTCTAATGAACACATTCCACATGCAGCTGGCAGCTCACAAAAGCCCCTTGGTGATCAGTCCTCTGCTTCTTGTTCCACGAATCGCCTGAATTGCTCACATAGAAACGTATTCTTTATGGAAAAAGGAATATTACGCTACCCTATTTCGAGTCTGATCCTTCTGCATGCATAAAATTCAATGGGAGATGCATCACTGGCTGTGGAAAACGGAGCCTTTATTTCAGGTTTCTCTCAGTCCATCTTCCATGTAATCATGCCCTATCCAGATGCACCTGTGTAGCTACACCTAGGGACAGACAGACTGTCAGACAGACAGCTGTTACCCACCAGTAACACTAATTCAGGAGTCAGAAGCCATGGCAAGAGCTTACAGAGGAGTATGTCAGCTCAATTAACAGAATAGCAGAGAAATACACAGAGAAAAACAGTCACAGCTACTCCTGGACAGCTGGATGTGGTGTGCTGGTTGCATCTTAACCTGCAGAAAACAAAGAATCTTGCATCTTAAAGCCTTCCTTATATTAAGGCAGGAAAGGGATGCTCCACTGAATGTGGTGCTCCCATTATTTACCTTGCAAGACAGAAAATTCCCTGTCTGGCAAAAGAAATCTCAAGGTTCATTGTAATATAGAGTGGTTTGGGTTGGAAGGGACCTTCAAGATCATCTGGCTCCAATCTCCCTGCCATGGGCAGGGATGCCACACATGAGATAAGGCTGCTCATGTCCCCATCCAGCCTGGCCTGAACGCTTCCAGGGATGGAGCATCCCAGTATTGACAAACAATGTTATACTTCCTAAGTATCAATTTTACTTTTTTTTCTGAAAAGAAAGATCAGTAAAGGACATCTGCAAAGTAATTTCTCATCATTTGCCCCCTCCTTTTGCCGACCTGAACTCTCCATTCCCCCAAGAAACAGAGGAAAGTGTTGCAGTTCTTTGACAACCTGAATCATGTTGTTCTCAATTATTACAGATTGGGTCACAAACAATAGTGCTGCTCACCCTCAGTTCTTCACTGAAGTGCCTGAAGCAGGGACAGTGACCCCTGCCACATCTGGAATGCTTGAGGTCTGTTCAAAGAGACTTTGGGATGTAACTCTCCTCCTGGGAGAGTTTACTTTGCAGAACAGGTAAGGACAGCATGCTGGGCCCCACTATAAAATACTTGATAGCAGTGGAATCAGTGTTAAAGGGACATGGCAGAACATACTTAATTTCATGAAGTTCCACACTGAAAACAGCAAAAGCTACCATTACACATTAAAGCTAAATTTAATTTTCTTCCTCTCCAGAGCTAAGTGTCATCGGGCTCCTAAAAAGATCCTTTGCATAAATAAAGCAAGGAAGTCAGCAGACCTTCACAAATTAGAGCCCTAGTTTTTTCTGTGACTTTCCATTTACTAATTGGATTCATACTACTTTAAAAGTGTTAGATGTCCTTTCCCAAAAAGAAGCAGAAATCTCACTGAGATATTGCTTTGGTTGAAAAATTGCAGGACTACAAAGAAGGACATCACAGCTCCTAACTCTGTTTAATCCATTCCAGGAGGCCTGTGTCTGAGGTGGAAGCACAGCTACTTCTTTGTTGTGCCACTCTGACAGAACTACAATTGATTTCTTTAGAAATAAAAACAAAAACCCCCATCCAAAACTAGGAGACCATCCAGTCATCTTGAGTTATAGATGAAAACCACATCAAATAGGCCTGAAATATTTTTTGATAAGCACTCAGTCTGAGCCCTGAAATCTTTAAAAAGTTTTCAACAAAAAGGTATGCAGCCATCACTTATCCAAACAATTTAAAAATATACTTTTCTGGAGCAGCAACTTCATTTATAAACTATAAACCTAACAAAATTACATTGTAAGTAACCCCTAATTTTCAAGCAGCACTGAGAGTGCAGTGTCTGTTCTGTGACCATTGAGTTTAGCAGAAAACAGACATTTCACAAAGATGTGGAATTTCTTACACAATCCAAAGTGAAGGGCAGGCTGCCCAAAATCCACTTACCTGTTAAACCAGTCATCTGTATAGCGGGGATAGGGGTAGGGATCATTGCTGCTGAAGTCATAGCTGGCTTTGGCATTCTACAAAACACAAGGAACACAGAAAATCAGCTGAAGAACAGATATGAAGTGAAACACAAATTGAATGAGAAGCTGAGAATCAACAGCAAACTTTGCCCTCTTCATTCTGTGAGATGTATCTGGATAGAAACCAGTCCCACAGTGCTGTGCCATTTCCCATTTTCCACCCCAGCAAGCCTGGGGAACAATGCTTTCTGTGTGCAAAGCCCCCTGTAGACCAGTGTGGTCAACTGGGAGGTGGTGTGAGAGCCCAGGTTACTACTGAGCATCAACATCAACACTTACAAGAGTATTCAGGTATTAAACTACTTGGTGTGGCAAAGCAAAGGTTAAATCCCATTTTCCAAATGGTGGTGGAAGTGACCAGACACATGGGTCTTCCTCAAAAGAAGTATTTTTGACAACCTCACATGTGGTACTACAACAGTCAGATTTCTAGAAGCATTTCAATACCTAAGAATGTAAATTTCTCAAAATTCAACTGTGAAAACTGCATTAATGGCCAGCACATACGCCTGAAAATCTCTTTGCATATTTTCTCATTCCTTCAGTTGTCTGAACAGCTTCACAAATGTGGCTCTCAGGCTTCTCAAAATGTCATCCCATGCCTCTGCTTTCTATATAAGTCTAATTCATTTCTGATTTGTCCTATCAGCAGCTAAGGACACTCAGTAACTTTTTGATCTGAAGCCAATAGAAAGTTTCAGAAAGTCAAGTGCCATCTTCTTCTTTCTCTCTTAATGAAAAAATAAAGGGTGACTGAAAATTAGGCTTTTAAAAATATTTAGCAGTTTCCTCTCAAGTGTATGTTCATTGAGTTTATGTTTTAATAATCATCATACTCAAGGAACAGAATTATGTTAATTCTTAATTAATGTGTACTTGTATCCCTTTTAAGATTTGGCTGAGCATGCTATTGAAGATAATTTGAGACTTGTGCATGAATAGCTATGCTCCTAAAAACATTCCCTTTCATCTGGTTCTCAGTTCCTGAGATACAGGAATAGACAGTCCATTGGTAGCAAACAAGTTTTGGATTTAAACTCCCAAAAACTTGCTCCAGGATGAAATGAGGACAATATTGCCCTCGATACTTAGAGGGCAAAACTAAGTTTCTTTCAAGTCACTGTACAGTGGGGTTTTTTGGGTGGTCACTTCAAAGCTTGGTTACTTATACAGACAGTAAATATTTTGCAGCATTTGAATGGAGCAGATATTTTCAGAGTGGCTTCAAATGGCTTGATGCTGTCTTCCAGCTCAGAGATTAATTCCTTTTTGAGATCTCTACAGATCTCTCCATATCTCCACGCCCTGATTTTCAGCCTGGAGATGCTTTCCAGTCAGGTCAGCTATAGCCACAAATTCTCAGTGCTTCTAAGTCTTTGTGCCCAGCTGTCTGATTAATTTGCTTCTTTTAATTACCCCAACTGCTTATACAGCAATTTGAATGGCACAGGTTTACAAGAGAAGAGTAAACAGAACATCACTTTTCAGCCAGGGAAAAAAGGGGAATATGACATTTGTCTATAATTCATGAGTAGTACAGAGAAGGTGGACAAGTAGTTATTTTTTACTACCTCTCATAATTTAAGAAATTGAAATTACTGAGGGAGATACTTAAAGGCAGCAGAAACAAGTACTTTTCCACAGAACATGTAATGAGTTTCAAAATTCACTGTCATGTAGGTACCACACAGACATATTGCCAACTTCATATTCACTCAGAACTTCTTCTTTTAAAATATTACACTTTAAAAATATTGTACAGATGAAAATTTAAATTCAGTCACGCATCAACTGTGTTTTATTTTCCCATCTGGAAGAAATGCAGTCCCACTTACATACCCTAAGCTCAAAGGGGGTGTGGTGAGGTTGACTTTTCAGGACATCATCAAATATAGAAGCACATTGTACTTGCTATCAACCACTCTTGACTCTAGAATTCCCCTGTGCAAAAATTAAGGCTGAAAAGCCCCTCTGGCTGTGCTGCTGTACCACACAAACTGCAGCCCTACTGTACATCCCAGGTAAGGCGGCTGATAAACCAAGTTGTCCAGCCACATCCTTTAGCTCTCATTTGCTTTATTTTACACCACAGAACACATAGGAAAAGATAACTAATGGAGTGGGAACCATCCACAAAGGGCAAAATTAAGAAGAAATCTTGGAAAGAAAACAACTGCTAACTTAGCAATTTATCTTCATTAGAGTCTTTGAGAAAAGACAGTGAGTTTCAGCATTGTGAATGAGTATTTCAACCACACTATGGAAGCAGTGAAATGGGTAATGAAACAGCAGAGAGAAGTACAAATGGACTGCTTCAAGTTCCTAATTTAAAGATTAAATCCACAAATACCTTAGGGTCAGCTTTTGTTAATTTTTTTTTAAGCTAAAGTAAGAAATTAAAATACCACAAAGGGAACTGCTTGAGTGGATGGCTTAAATATTTTGTGTTTTGCGAAGTGAATATTAAAATCTCTGTTTTGCCGTTGTTCTCCATAGGCTGGAGTCCCCAGCAGGCAACAAGAAGGAGTTTATTGCTAATATGGAGAATTAATCAGCACAGGAACCTGTGAGGCTGCAATTAAAACCAGTGCAGATGAGGATCCACAATAGCACTTGGAACAGGCTTTTCCACTCAGGTGATTCAGTGCCCTGTTTTCTTGCTTAGCTAGTCTACTGGCAGGTCCTTCTCTTAGACTTGAAGTGTTTAACACTTGATTTTCAACATCTGAGGGAGCTGCCTGGTTTTTAACCTCAGGGAGAATTTGAGCCTCCAGCCTCCAGTGCTGGTCTGGCCTTAGACTGGTCATTGGCACTGGGAGTTACAACGAGGTGAATCTAATCCCTGATGTTCAACCAGACCAGCTCATTGCTGCAGTGATCTGGTGGTTATCAGTCACTATCTGTACACCACTACTTACAAATAACATCTATTATATTGCAAAAATGCTACTACAGCGAGGAATGGTATTGCTCTTTAAGGAATATCTCTATTTTTGCTTTCTAGCCTCTACACCAAATAAAATACTAACAGAAGAGTATCAGATCCCAGGATGAGATGCTTTCAATAATTTATTAAGTAATGGCTTGTATCCCATGACACAAATCGATTACTTTTGCCTCTGTATAAAATTCTGCTTTCCATAAAAATAACCTTAGACTAGAATTTCCCAATGAATTGCCTTGTACCTTTTAAAACACATGCAGTAAAATCATCTGTGGAAAAAAATTCATTATGCAAAATACGACACTAACAATAAATCAGTTGTCCCATGAATTGTTCAGCACTGTAATAAAATTATGTACCTTGAATAATGCAGTAAGCCCATAAATTTTTGTCTGACCTCACAGGCTTCTGCAGTGTAATTCACATACAGTTCCCTTTTTTTCTGTAAGTCAAGAAATATGCCTATGCTCACTTGCTAGTGCAGGAGACAATTAAAGACACATCTCACTGGTCACAGGCTGACTCTATTCATGACATTAAAGTCCTGTACTAGATCTGAGGCAGAAAGTTACCTTTTTTTGTTTGTTTGTTTGATTTCTTCACTGATCCAAAGAGCAAGCAAAGCCATAAACTCAAATCAAAACATAAAACATCTCAGGGAAACTGTATTAAAATAAGTCTGAATATCATGTGGTGGCAAAATGAAATTCAGTTTTGTACATATAGGCTTAAATAAATAGAATATGCCCACCAAAAGGCAAAAAAGGAAGCAACATGTTCAACCTAAGAGAGGTGCTGCAAGGCTTAAAGGTCATTAACAAAAGCAGAGGCACTGCTGCTAAGTCAGCCATTGTACAATAAGCTCTCTCCTCTCTGCCATGGGAAGCACACTTTTATTTTGGTTTGGTTTGTGGGGATTTTAAAATGGAAATTAAAAAAAAAAACTGTAACTTTTTAAATACCTCTGTGTCTATATGAACTAATGTACATGTCCTATATTTCCTATATACTATATGTCCTATATTTCCTATATTCCTATATTTCCTATTTCCTATATGTCCTATATCCAGCAAATTGAGAGCTGGCTTGAAGACCATGTAAACACCAAGAATATATCCACAAAATAATGGGTTTTTTTCAAAGATATTAATCTTAAAGAGTAAATTCACAGCTGATGAAATCTGCCATGTCTCCCCAGAAACTGCAGCCTTTTACCCAGTTCTTATAGGTACACCACAAAAGTAAAAATACTGAGCCAATGCCAGCCAGATCTTGAATAATAAATAAGACAGCAGCACACTTCTCTGCTGTTCTTCTTTTCAAAACAGCCACAGAATAATAAATCAGAACACCATTTGAAATTGATGGAGTTTTGTCCTGGGTCCAGAATACTACCTGAGGTGCCTGTAAGCCCTCCTGGGATTCCAGTTCCAGGTATTCACTACAGGCTCTACTTGGCCACAGAAGGAGCAATTAAGGAGCTCACCACAGCAGTGATTTCATTTTGTAGTTATTAGTGAAAAAAACCCTTCAATTTCCTCAACAATCACCAAACATCTGGGATTAGGCCAAAGGAAAAACTAGTGGAATTACAGTCAAAAGAAGATAAACTGACTGCAAACAACAAGTTCCTACTGCTTAATTTACAACAATTAAAATTGTTGAGCTTACAAGAGGTAAGAATTCTAATCATCCAGCTTCAGAGTTTATGGGAAGACAGGTGGGCTGTCCCCCACTTCTTATCTAAAAACTTACTTTGCAAAGCTGAACGTTTTTCAGTCTTAGGTTTAAAAGCAAACAAACAAAAGGCAGTTGAAAAAACCATGGAGTCTCACTTTAGCATTTGCATTTATCTTTATTAAGGTAGCATTATTTTTAAAGTTACAGTTATGAAGAAAAATAGCTTTGCTGAGCTCATATCACATTGTATTCTTTTTCTATATTAAACAGATTACTTTGTGAAGT